TTCGCCTTGATAATCTGAGGCTGTCTTATTTCTGAATCCTCCCTCTCCAAGAGAGGTTTTCTTAACGAGGAAAGTGTAGGCAGCTGGCTCTCCTCAGGCTTTGTTCCCAGAACCTCAATTAGAGAGGGAAATCAGAATCCTTTTCATTACATCTGAGTTAAAAAAAAATATATATATATATATATATATATATATATATATATATATATATATATATACACACACACACACACACACACACACACACACACCCCGTATTTTTCGGGCCATAAGACGCTCCGGACCATAAGATGCACCAGTTTTTAGAGAAGGGAAATGAAGAAAAAAAGATTCTGAAACAAATAGTGTCCTAAAATATTTTATGTGCATTAAAACCCAACATCACAGTCATAAACACATGTAATCAACCCTGTAAAGTAAACAGCAGCATTTAGAACCATTTTAGAGCCGGGCAAGCACACAGAGACCACACAGAGCCGGGCAAGTAAAAAAACTTTTTTTTTTAAGTATATGTGTAGGCTATATTTGGACCATAAGACGCAGTGACTTTTTCCCCCCACTTCTGGGGGGGAAAAAGTGCATCTTATGGTCCGAAAAATACGGTAACTTCATGGATATTTCTCACAATCCACAAATTTTCTCTATATTCTTAGATGATTTTATTTTTTCTAAAAGCATATAAATTTGGAATCCCCAATTATAGGATGGAATTGGTCAGATAAAGAACAACTTTCTACATCATGCTCTGAAATTAGCTATCTTACAGCTTACTATATTTTATATGAGCAAAGATCATTGGATTCCTTCATGATTCCCACCCTCCAGGCTGATCCACTGACTATTAAAGCTGGTGTGTGTGTGTGTGTGTGTGTGTGTGTGTGTGTGTGTGTGTGTTTTATAAAAACTGAGACCAGAGATAAAGGGATTTTTATCCCATCAAAATTGTTTTGGCCTTTCTCAACAGTGAATATTCTAAAACAAAACAATAACAAAACAGCTAACAAATGGCAAAGGGATCCAATTTTTGTTTGATCTTCCTTCCTAATTTCTCTTTCTCTTTTCAGCTCTCTCACTACAGCGAAAAGCTCAAAAGATAAACAAAAAGAAGAAAGAAGGAGTGAAATAAAAACTGGGCTATTGATTCCTGAAAAATTGAGACTCATATATGGTTGATACTTTTCACAAGCTACAAGAGAATAGTAGGCTCAGAGCATATTGTGGCTACTCTTTATGCTTTTTTTTAAAGATATGACGACCATCAAGAGGGCAATTGCTCAGGGGTTTCCTTTCATGGCCTAGTAAGGAGGCTCTGGAGCTTTTCCGACAGTTTGGCACTAAGACTAATGGCAAAGGACTTCTCTCCTCTCTGGTGCCTCTGAGTCAAAGTGGAGGGGGAGGGTGATGGGGTAGCGTGGGCTGCAGGGATAGCAGTAACAAGGGCCAGGCACCCCTGCCTGCTCTTGTACGTGGGCTCCCTCAACCTGACAGGTATTTGTCACCCAAAACTCCAAGTCCTTGTTTAGAAACTTTGACTCCATTTGAGAAAAGATAAGGTGCTTGCATTGCAATTTTTAAAGAATTCAGTCAACAAATACTGAGAATCTACTGTATATGGAAAATTGTCCTAAACAGATGGAAGAGCAAGTAACTCAGCTTTCTCCTGAAAGAGCTAATAATCGAGGGATTTTTTTCCTCCAGAGAGAAGAGTCCTGTGATGGTATCAAAACTTGCTTGGGTCCCCTGTTCCCATGCTTTAGACTCATCACTCTGTCCTGATAACCATATCAATTAGTGGTCAAAGGTGTTATTGACTAAACTGGATGTGTCTATTGCCAGTATATCTTGTTTACTTCCCAAGTGCTATCTCAACATTGCATCATAAATACCAGGTCATATAATAATTATTGTTATCAACTTCACAAAACTCACATTTCTCAGGCTGATGTAGACATATTGAAAGATATAGGCTATTTTAAAATTTTGCAAATAATGCCAGGTGATTAATAATATGATTTTACAGTGTAGTACAGAACACTGATTTAATTGCTTTTTTAAATATATTTTTTATTATATGTGTACATACCTTACCAATCCACACACACGCACACACACACACACACACACCCTCCCAAACATGCCCTCCCTGCCCATAGTTTTTCCTCCACTGGTTATGCTTATATGCATGCGTACAAGTCCTTTGGTTGATCTCTTATCTCCCCCATATCTCCCTGCCCTCCCCGCTGTAATTTGACAGTCTGTTTGTTTCTTTACTGTCTCTGTATCTATCTTTTTGTTTTTTAACTCTGTATCTCACTAGAAAGGGAGACTAGTAAAATTAGATAGTTGGGGTTTAGTAGCCTGACACTATCTTAATGTAAATTAACAGTAAACATTTGAAAACAACAGAGAAGGTTAAAACATGTTGGTTTTTTTTTTTTAAGCTTGGATAATTAAATCCTGCACCAAAATGGTATTTAGCACTCAAACATAATATACTACCTACTGCTCGGTCTATTATCTATCATTATCTTTTGAACCCTGTAATTGGACAAACAGGAAACTATTCATAATAATCAGTTTGTTCAAAATCATCTGTTTGCTGGAGTCTGGGAGTTGCACGTTGCAGGCATATTGAACTGAGGTGAAACTGCTTACTCCCTCCTTTCTATTGTTTGCTCATCGCAGTTACTGCAAAGTGCAGCAACACCATACACAGGGTGATCCAAAGCATCTTCCCAAAATTACTGAAAAAATAGTCGTTTCCCCCTGCATCCTGCGAATGGGCAACATAAACCTTATTTGCCGCAAGACAGGGTGTCATTGAACCTGGCCCATCCCCTGCCAGGGCCGTATGCACGTAATTATGCTTAACACAGCACTGGGGCAAGCAATCTGCCCTCTGGAATTTCCATTAGATTCAACCACTTAGTGGCTTTATTAATCCTAGCACTGGCTTTATTTTTCAGTTATTCTTTGGTGGTTATGTTCCTTCCATTACAGCTATCCAAACATCGGGCTGCCCAGGGTCTCCTGTACACATTTAAATCTAAGAGATTTAAATAGAAAAGCAACACGGGCCGTTATTGGGCTATTTTCCGTTTTCATTATCAGTGAAACAAGACATCAGCGTTTTCATGCTGCGTGGAGCCTTCAGGGAAGTGCAATGATGCTGTCATTATCCCGCTGATGCAAATGGAATGGCGAGCCCAATGAAATAAAAATAAAATCACGAAAGGGCTGGAGTCACAGAGTGGGCTGCTGACCTGGTCCCTGCATGGCTCCCTGAAAACGTCCCTTTGAATTTAGCGGAACCTGGATGGCAAAGACCACAGACCCTGACAGAACATAAATTCATCTCATAATGAGATTAGTAGGCAGTCAAAATAAATGTCCTGCTGTTACATCAGAGGCAGGCTCTAACCTGGTGTTTTCCATGGAAATGATCATTTTCTTTGCAACGGGAGAATGGAGGATGCAACTAGCTTAAATCCGACAGGTTCTGTTTTGCCATACCATTATTTTTCACCTTCCTCTGTCTGTTTAATCGCAGTTTTGAGGAACCGTATAAATGAATCGTGAGTCTTAAAAACTATTACCAACATGAGTTATGGGTGTTGATGTTCACGATCATCATGTTTCCCTGACTCTCCTTTTAAGTAAAGTTCTCCTTTTGCAACCCCTCCTCTCACTTCTAAGCAGGAGCCCTGCTGTGGAGGAGGTGTTGAGACCCCCAGAGTCCTCTCATGCTAGCCTTAAGGATCAAAGGCGGAATAGACTCACTATTGTATTTGTGTATGGCAGCTCTACTGCTTAAAACCTTTGGCAACAAGTATCGCATACTAAAGAGCCCTAAGAAAATGCCCGGATCAGGTGAACCCACGTGGTCTCTGAGTAGAACAAAGGCCCTGGGTGTGCAGCTTGATTGCAAGGGACTTGCTTGGTTTTCAGCAGAAGGCAATCTCACCTGGAGCACAATGCCCTCCTCTCATTCAGAATGCAAGATAGAATCTCCTCCGAATCCCTTCCACAGAACCTGATGCAAGTCCATGGGCTGCGTGGTCCTTCGCACCAAGTGGCGTTTAATCAAAGCCTCTGTGAAATAATCTCAGAGTCCCTGGGCCCTGTTAAGTCACCAGGCTTGTTAAGAGGTCCTTTCAAACGGAATGGGAGATCAGACTCTGAATTTAGGTGCGTTTGAAGCTTCCGCATAGAAGTCAGAGACAATTTAATGTACACCCATTTCCTCTGCATTTTCCAGCTTCCAGGCTGAGACTCCTACCTTCTCTATGGCATTGCTCATTAGGAATAAATAGTTTGCTAGTATCCCATTTCATAACTGTTTTCCTTAGGCTGAAATGAAACCACAGAAATGTTTTGACTTTGCACAAGCATTTTATAGTTCATGCATTGGTTTCCAAACATTATTTCATCTAATGGAAACCATTCTCTTGCTGTACGTGGTGCTTCCATCCCAAAACTTGAACTGCAGATGAGCTACTTTAAGGGGGAAATAACGTTTTGGCCCAATTTAACAACGTTTTCTTTCAACTTTTTACTTCTTAGTAGCTTGAATTGTGTCTCTACTTACATATATTTTTATGTGTCTAATTTGCAAATGTCGGAGAATTTAAAGTCAATTCTCCTCCCATTCTCAAAATTTTATCTGCTTTCTGTTGATTCCTTCCTTATCAGGTGAAATAGTTCAAGGAAAGATACTAATTTTTCATTAGGTAAGATGGTCCCTCTTTCACTTACCTTTTCATTCCCACAACTCTTTCTTCCCTGTCTCACCATAGCTCTGTTCCCCACTCCTCTCTGCACAGCTGTCTTTATAAATTACATAGCTAACAGTAACTGAGTCCACTTTACCAAGTATCCAGTTTAGTTGGCACATGTTAATGATTTTCTAATGGCATCCCCTATGTTAAATTCACAGGGTTAATGTTAAAGTTTCATATTGAATAGTGCCCCTGAGAGAATTCACTGCATTGTTTGCTTACCTCATATAAATGTACTTGTTCTTGGGTTACGGCAAAGATCAGTAACACGTTATTTTGCACCAGTTTGTCAATGAGTTGTCCAATTGTTGGATATTCCTAAAATTGATATATAGATTTTAAGTATCATCTTAAGAAAAACATGCAAAATAAAGAAAAGAATGTTTCAGATATCTTAATGAGTTTGACATTTCAATGCTTATAGGCATTATTGATTCTGTCACTCTAAGTAAACAAATACAATTAGCATGATTTGACATTCCTATACCGGTTCCTAGGTTTGGTCTTATTGCCTTTTTGATGCCACTAATTAGTTTTATGAGACCCTGTGATAATTTTTTTTATTTCTTTATTGATTAAGGTATTACATATGTGTCCTTATCCTCCTCATTACCACCCCATCCCTCCCACTCATGTCCTCACCCCCCTGTTGTCTGTGTCCATTGGTTAGGCTTATATGCATGCATACAGGTCCTTTGGTTGATCTCTCCCCCTTTTCCCCACCCTCCCCTACCTTCCCTCTGAGGATTTCAGAGAAGAAGGGAGAGGAAGAGAGAGATAGAAACATCAATGATGAGAGAGAATCATTGATTGGCTGCCTCCTGCATGCCCCCTACTGGGGTTTGAGCCCCGCAACCTGGACATGTGCCTTTGGCTGGAATCAAACCCGGGACCCTTCAGTCCGCAGGCTGACACTCTATCCACTGAGCCAAACCAGCCAGGGCCCTGCGATGTTTTTACAGTTGAAAACACATTGCACTTCTATTCCATTGGCACATCATTCCCAAGTGATAGGATACTTTAAAAAATAAAGAAGCCATTTATTAACAGATCTGAAGATGGCCACTATTTTCCAAGGCTGAAGAACACACAGCACAGTTGCCTCTTATATGAATCCAAATGTGGATCATGATGAAAGAGGAAATTTAAGTGAAAGAGTAGCCTGCAAACAATTAAATTAAGTATTTGTCGATGGTTCTGAAATCAGCCAAAGTGGAGAGACACTATATGCTGGTGTGGTGTGTTCACATGTTCTCAGAACTTCAGGTAAATGACCCCACAGCAAATCTGGCTGAGTAATGCATGCTTTCCACACAATTTGGATTTTTATTAGTAGATATTGATAAAATCCACATAATATAAATCTTCCTGAGTCTGACATTTTTAGTCTCCTCAGCTGTTCAACTGTCCAAACACTAAGCATCCTTCACCCTGAAGCACGAATTTCTCCAATGCTGACCCCTCCTTATCGTCACATGGTCTCAAACTTTTCAATTGCTGTGCATGTGTTATCAGAATCATACCATGTAGCCCTTCCTATGTGGGCGAACATGATTTTTCTATTTGACCCACATCAATTGGTTTAGTTCCCACACAATTATCTCATAAGCTCCTCAAAGCCAGGGACCATGTCTTATTACTTTATGGCTCCTGGAGCCCGGCCCAGTGTTGTGTTCATAGGAAGTGCTCAAAGGGCGCAGTGAGCTTTGTTACAGGGAGACACAGAAATAGTTCATGGCTTCTCTGCATTCATAGAAACTCAGAAAGAATTAATTGAACATTTATTAGATGAGAAGGCCATATTAAGCAACAGGCAATGTTTGCTTCTATGGTCCTACTTTTTCCAAGATTCTATTAGAGACATTTTAATAATTGCAAAAATGGGGGGTGGGGGAAGAGAGCAGACTCACTTCTCACAATTTCTTGCTCCTTGTTGGCTAAAAGACAAAATGTGGCTACCTCATTGACTTTGTAATATGGAAAGGCAGTTTATATGATTAAATAATATATAAGCGTGGGGAATACTATTGATCAAAAGTTAGGAGAAAATATTCATGTTGAAGTTTAGAAATTTAGGCAAGAAATAGTAGCAGATATTTGTGAACCATTAGATTTTAAAAAAATTAATTGGCAGCACCATATTAAGCATTTATATTCATTATCTCATTGAATTTTTTTTTGAGAATAGTGCTTTTCAATCTGAAATTAGAATTCTTCCTCTTTTTCTTTTTCTTTTTCTTTCTCATTTCTTTTTCTTCCTCCTCTTTCTTTCTTTCCCTTTCTCTTTCTCATTCTTTCTCTTTCTCTTTCCCTTTTTCATTCTTTCCCTTTTTCATTCTTTCTCTTCCTCTTTCTCTTCATCTAATCTTTATATTTAACTTTTTTCTCTTTCTCTTTCTCTTTTTTTCCCTTTCTCTTTCTCATTCTCTTTCTTTCTCATTCTTTCTCTTTCTCTTCCCCTTTCTCATTCTCATTCTTTCCCTTCCTCTTTCTGTTCATCTAATCTTTATATTTAACTTTTTTCTCTTTCTCTTTCTTTCCCTTTCTCTTTCTCATTTTCTTTCCCTTTCTCATTCTCATTCTTTCTCTTCCTCTTTCTCTTCATCTTTATATTTAACTTTTTTTCTCTTTCTCTTTCTCTCTACTCCATACACTTCTATAGCATTGTCATTTTAAGAAGTCACTTAAATTCTCTGAGAAATATTTTTGCAGATATTAAATGAGGATAATATAACTTTCTCAGCTTGTTGCTTCATAATTCAATTCTATTTCTTAAGTTAGTCGGCGCCCACTGCATTCCAGGCCCTCCTGGCCCTGTAGAGCACACATTAAATAAACAGAGACAGACATGAGCAAACACATTTCACACAGTGATGGGCAAGAAGACATCTAGGTATGAGAGTGAGGGAGAGGCCCAGCAGAGGTCAAAATAGGCCCCCTTGGAAGCAGCCATAATCAATCTGGGTTTAAAGAATAATTAAGTTTCTCAGCAGCCTAGGATGGGAGAGCATTCCAGACGGAATAGGATACGCACACACATGGCAGCTTCATGGTCTATTTAAGGAAAGCAGTTAGATATGTAGGATTCTGGTGAGAATTGAATGAGATAAGGTACATCGAAGGAACTCTGAAAATTTTACAAAAGTCAAGCATTTTCCCCCCTTATATGTCACCAGCATTTTTTAACTGACAAAAAATATGCCAAGTGTGAATACATACCAAGCAAGCAGTACTTGACTAATTGTTCCCATAGAGAGAGCCCCTGCTCTGGGAAAGCATGGCCTTATTTAGGGAGCATGCACTGGGCCTGTCATTCACAGTAACTCCTGCGTGATGACTGTTTTGGTCTGAGCCCCGCTTCCTGGGGATATGGTTGGGAACAGAACAACTGACTTCGCTGCTTTTTGCTGGCCTCTGGCTCTTTGAAAAATCAGGAGGTCCTGGGGTCATCTGGGTTATAGCAGATGCAAACTTTTCACATAACCTCACCACCCAACGTATTCCTGGGGGAACCCCTGAGGGTGATGAGGATTGAGACAGAGAAATCTATTCATCTCAAAGCAGGAAATGTACTGTGTGCACTAAGTGTGGGTTATCCTATGCCCTACAGCCATTATTGCTTCATTTGCCTTCTTATTGCCCTGAAATCAGCGTAGAGTGCAGATTACACACCAAGACAGTTGACATGGAGTATTCATTCTTGCTGTCCAGGTGACAGAGCCCATCGTTAGGAATGACAATGCCTGCCAATTTGCTGTCCATTCCAAAATGAGAATCAGCGTCGCTCACAAAGACCAGGAGATGGAGGGAGTCATTCCGCCAGCCAATTTTTTCCTGCAGCGAGAGAGAAACATTTGGATTGCATTGGATAGAGGCAGGCATTTATGGAGAGTGAATCAATTATGATGGACACATTCACAATATAAAAATTGTATTGCTGGTCTATTTCAGCCATTTTCATCTATTGTGAGTTGATAATATTAATGTATTAAAAACACAACATTTCTGTGATGTTTGTTTCTTTCTTGATATCATTTTCAGATGTTCTATACTTCAGTAAAAAAAAAAAAAAAAAAATAGTTCCACTACAATCAATATTCGGTTGATCCCAACTTTTACATGGTTGTTTTTACTGTCCATTTTCAATGTACCAGAAAAATGAGGGAAGGGAGGTCACAGATTATCCTTAATCCAAGATGAAGCAAAACTAGGCAGAATGCAGCACAAAATGGAACCTGAGTAAGCCTGTTTTATTCAACTGTCACCCAACATTTAAGCACATATTTCTCTTTCTACTGTATCATCCAAAAATTATAAACAAAATGGATAAGAATTGCTTATCAAAGTATTGCCTCAAGGTACTGCCAATTAAAGTGGTCTATTTGTTGTTTCTTAGCAGAGCTCTCCCTTTCAGTTAACAATAGTCCTGAACTAGTGGGGCAAAACTCACTCTGGCTGCACCATCCCTCCTCCTCCTCCTCTTCTTCCTCCTCCTCTTCCCCCCTCCCTCATCCATCCTCCTTCCTCCCCTCCCCTCCCCTCCCCTCCCCTCCCCTCCCCTCCCTTCCCCTCCCCTCCCCTCCCCTCCCCTCCCCTCCCCTTCCCTTCCCTTCCCTTCCCTTCCCTTCCTCTCTTTTTCCTTCTCTTTCCTTCCCTTCCCTTCCCTTCCTCTCTTTTTCCTTCTCTTTTCTTCCCTAGTTCCCTGGTTCTTCCATCTTCTAGGAGCTTCAGCATGTCCATTTCCTGATATTTTCCATGAAGAGCTACCACCTGAAGACAGATAAATGATTCCTGTGATATGTTGCTGACTGTTAAGGACAAGTGATGTTCCTTTACTGTTGTAGGGATTGTGTGGCTTTGGATGCTTATTTTGTTAGTTCAAAACAATAGATATCTATTCATATATATATATAGAGAGAGATTTATACTGATTCAGGTCATCTTTACTTTTTAAATGACTTCTGCCTTTGATTTTTACCATGATTAACTAAAAAACCAATTAATCTGATTTAAATCTTTGTAAGTTAATCACACATGACTTGTAGTAAAATTTCCCCAAGACATCTACAATTTTATTAGAATACCCAAATATTAGGCATAAAACAGTCCCATTGTAACATGATCAAATGAAAGATTTTACAGAGATTCTGTTTTAATAAAAATATCAAATGTAGAAATATGGCAATTAAAGTAAAAATTAAGTTAGCCAAGTGTTTCAAAGCAGATGTGTTAATAAGAGATGAAATTCATATTATCAGAGCAAAATACACTTCCCCTCCTCATACCTTACACACAGCAGCTTGCATAATTGCATCAAATCCACCCTCAGGTGTGTCAATATTAGCAGAAATTTTCTGATCCTTCACAATTTCATTGAATTCTTCAGCATCACTTGTCAATGGCAAAACGTGCTTGAATCCAAAAGTAGGTAAGCAGAAGTATGGAATACTACTACAAAAGCAAAATGTGAAAATATTCTTAATTAAATATGACATAACACACAAGTAAGAGCTCTAATAGTCTGGCAACATTTTCTTGCATGATAATGAATTTTCCTGAAGAGCCTGACTCTAACTTGGCTATGAGTCTCACTTCTAAGGTTGTTGTTATCATTTCCCACCCACCCCTTTCAAATTAATCATATTAGCTAACACTTAGAGATCACTGTATCTTACGCTGGCTCAAGCTCAGATAACAGGTAATCAGGTGATCAAACTCTCCACTCCTGTGTGTGTGTGTGTGTGTGTGTGTGTGTGTGTGTGTGTGTAATCATTACCTCCTATTGCCTCTTAACCCAAACCCACCAACACTCCCAGTCTTATTATAGGGTGACTCATACTGGGTGACATGTATGAGTCACTCTGTAGCAGGGCTGAGAGTGAAACCTTTCTTCTTCCTCCTCTACTCCCTCCTGCACCCCCAGCCCTGCTGCCAATGGACCAAAAACCAGAGCAGGGCTCTTCATTCTAGATCCCAACTTTACCGTGACTGAACAGACTGTCGTGGACAGAAATAAAACCACCATTTAATACAGATTACTTATGGGGGAAATGTCATGTTAGGATATCTGCCCCCAAATATTACAGTAGAACAGAAAAAGCTGATCATAAATCCAGCCACATCTTATTCAGAAAGCCAGTTAGTAACTGCGCTTAAGGTTTGTAGCAAGTTACTCAGCAATCTGAGTTTTAGGTTTTTATTTATAGAATGGAGATAATTGTACAGAGCAGAGGTTCTTAAAGTGAGGCCCCTGACCTACTGAGTCAGAAATGTTAGGGGTGGGCTCAGAAATCTGTTATTCTAAAGCTTGAGAAACTCTGTTGAAGTAGAGACAAAAGGTATAACTCCCAGTGAGGTTGTGGAGTGCTGTCTGGGCAGAGATGGTTGACAGCTTTGCAGACCCAGAAGCCTGCCTTGTCAACACAGATAGAGCCAGTATATCTTGCAGAGTCAGGCTCCTGTTCACCAGATTCATCTGTCTGAAGTACACAGCCAATCCTCATCAATCGTAATTCCCTATCTGCAAACTCACCTACTTGCTAAAATTTCTTTGTAACTCCCAAATCAATACTCTCAGTACTTTCTCAGTCATTCACATGAATGCACAGAGTGGTCAAATAATTGAATCACCAGATACACATGTTTCCCAACTGAGGTCAAACAAGGCTTTGTCTTCTTGCTTTAGCTTTCATGCTTAACAGATGTCCTTTCCAGGGTCTATTTGGTGCCTTGTCTTTTGTATCCTTGTGCTTTTTGTTGGTGATTTTGCTGTTTAGATAGGCCCTGAAGTGTGGTGCTGAAGGGCTGTCTAGTGTTCCTTGGTGCACAAGGCTGTGATGTATCATGGAGAACATAAGTGTATTAGATATGCTTTGCTCTAGCATGCATTACAGCAGTTGTTGGCTGTGAATTCAATGTTAATGAATTAGTAATATATATTAAATAGAGTGTTACACACAGAAAACAAAATTATATATTGATCAGTTGGTGAAAACATGGCCAGAGGCTCACAGGAACCTAACTTTGTGTCTCCTCTGGGAGCAATGGTTTAACATTTGCTAATTCGGTGTTCAAGGAGACTACACAACAAGACTCTTTTGAATAATGAAAATCAATTGTATGTACAAGTTAAAATGACTATGGATTCATTCATACAGAGTAATGGAGTTCTACTGAGACCAGAATGCTGCTGTCTGCAATGGTAGTCATTTTCTTAATATCAGTAGACTTTCATAGAAAGCAGGTCATAATCTGATGTGTCCTCAGGGTTCAGAATAAGTGGAATTGGAGGATCCCAGCACTGACTGGTACAGTTTGAGATGTCCCAACACAGCCATCTCCAGAATGGATGCTCCTGGTCATCCCAATCTGTGGTTGGCTAATAAAAGTTTGGAAATGTAGGAAAGCCAGTGAGACTGGAAATTGTAAGTGCCTTGGCTAAGGCCCTTGGATTGAATGTGGCCCATACTTGAACCTATGATCCCTGTTTCTTTGCCCTGCCCTAACCTACCAATACTGTTCATTTTTTTAGCTATGACAGGATACCTGGCCTGGTGGGCCCAGAAGCCAGTCTGTCACTTCCAGGGAACTTTTCACATTTTCTTTCTGATTCATTATATTTAACTTTAGCTCTCAGAAGGCAATCTTAAACTTTTATTTTTAGTATTTTGCATGGACTATCATTGAAATTCTGAAGAGTTGACCACAGAAAACATCTATGGTCCTAATAGAATAATGGTGAAGCTTGACTGAAATAAAATGTGTGAAATACACAGTACAATGAGCTTTTCCAAATAAGTGCTTCCTAACATTAGTGTCATTTCTTATATAAATCACTTACACAGAGTCTAAATTTGACTAATGATATCTCTAGAATCATATAGTTTCTCCTGCTTAAAATAATAATGCATGTTCATTGAAGAAAATTTGGGTTTTATGTAAAAGTGTAAATGAAAACATAAATTTTAATGGTTATCAGATGTATCATAGTTTATTTGACCATCTCTCTATTACTGAAAGTTTATTTCAGAAACTTTTCAGTTATTAAATAATGTGTGATCCTTCCATATAATCTTTGCAAACTCCAAAAACACACTACAGATTAGATTAAAACAAGTTTTACAAGTGTGGTGCACAGACCCTTTGACATCCCTAAGCTCTTTCAGAGTCATAAGGCCAAACTCTTTCACAATAACAAAAAATGTTATGTGCCTTTTCCATTGTGCTGACATTTGCAGTGATGATGCAAAAGCAGGAGTGAGCAGAACTGCTAGTGCCTCTGCACAGATAAAGGTACAAAGCTGTGTAATTGTTCTTACATTTTCACCAGCAAGCATTTACTGTAATACATTTTAAAATGCGAGTTTTTACTTGATTGTCCTTGATGGGGCAGTAAAAGTTATTAATTTTATTAGGTCTACACCCTTGAAAACATGTTTAAAAATTTCTTTTTCTGTATGACCAAGACAGAAAAATGCATACAGCATTTCTGCTGCTCACCAAAGTAAATGTTTATAGTAGAAAAGCACTTCTGTGATTGTTTGAGCTAAACTGGCCTATATATATATATATATATATATATATATATATATATATATATATTACCCTCTCTATCTGAAAGATGCTTGACACACTATTAATCCAACTTAAATATTTGACAGAAATGTTCTTAAAATATGAAAGAAGTGAGGTTGTCATTTCAAGAAAAACAACCACTGGTATTTGTTGCCACAGATAAAATTTGAAATAGTTTGAAAATTAGAATTTTGTGATCATGGTGTCTCCCCTGCCAGGTAAGTATGAAAATTAGAATTTTGGAAAACTTTCATCTGCCACCTATGAGATTAATAGGTGGCAGATGAAAATGCATTAAGAAATATCTGATGATATTAACAAATGGGATGTTTTTGACATTGTATCATGAAATTTGGAAGATCTGCCTAACTCAGTGAAGCAATGGTTTTCAAAGGATCAAAGCATTTTATTACAAAATCACACACATTAGTAAAACCCATTCACAGTGCAAGACAGACCAATGGCTTTTAACGTGATAGAATATGAAAAGTTCATTGACATTGTTTCAGATTCCATATTGAAACTAACTTTTAGTTTGAATGAAGTATCAAAGAAGATTGCTGAAACCAGTTTGGCTCTCAGCATTGGCTTGCAGACTGAAAGGTCCCGGGTTCGATTCCGGTCAAGGGCATGTACCTTGGTTGCGGGCACATCCCCAGTAGGGAGCGTGCAGGAGGCAGCTGATCGATGTTTCTCTCTCATCAATGTTTCTCTCTATCCCTCTCTCTTCTTCTCTGTAAAAAATATTCAGTAATATATATATATATATATATATATATATATAATATATATATATAAAATCAATAATATATATATAAAAGATTACCCACAGTCATGAGAAAAGTTGTTAGATGTGTCTCTCTTTTCTTATTATATATGTGATGTTTGACTTTCCTCATGGAATTTAAGCAAAACAAAGTATTTCAACAGATCAAATGCAGAAGTAGGCATAAGAATCCAATTGTCATTTACTAAATCAGATATTAAGAGATTTTTAAAAATGTAAAAGCAAGGCTAATCTTTTTGTTTTAGAAAAAATAGTGTTTTTTTAAGATGTGTTACAGTAATATATAGTTCTTATTGTAATTATCAAATAAATCAATAGCTAATTATTCTTTAATATTTGTTTTCTAACATGCTGAATATTAATAGATATAAACTACACAGTCTAAGGCTCCTGGTGGGAGGTCTTAATTTTTAAGAGTGTAAGAGAGTCCTGAGATGTAAGTTTGAAAACCACTAGATTAAAATTATCAAAGATACTAAGTGTTGATGAGAGGAAGAAAATTAACACTTTGAATGTTTGTTATGTTCTGAGCTCATTCAATTCTCATGGTTGCCCTAAAAGGTGAATATTATTATTTCCATGTAAAGGTGAAGAGAGCGAGTTCAAAGAGAGTAAGATTTTGTCCAAGGTTATAATTTAAACCCAGGACTGAAAAACTCCATGCTCTTTCCTCTTTAAGTCGTTTGCCTTTCTACTAAATAACATTTTTATTTCATAATTACAAGGTTTGGATTGATCAAAGGATTGATTTTTGTGTTTAGTGTTTGAGTTCTTGGTGTTTATATGTATGGGGGGAGGTATCTGGACAAAGAAACTTGGAGAATTAAGGATGTATTGGAAAAGGAAAAAAAATATAATGTGGCAACAAAAAAAAGAACTTTATATATAAGTTTAACTAATGGAAATTTTGCCAACAAGAATAAAGAAACAGGTTAGAAAATAGAAAAATATTGACCTTTTAAGAGATCTCATCTATAATACTCTGTTATTGATAGTAGCTGCCATTTATTTAGAGCTTCAAGATCAAGCCCAGTACTAAATGCTTCCCTTCATTACCTTGACCAATCCTTAAAACCACTCTGTGTGATCA